CAAGATGAAAATATTTTGGGATTCATACTAAGAGTGACCTCCAGTCCTTCCGTCAGGAGTTATGGTCCAAATATTCTTATCCTATATGGAAATGTCTTAAAATGCAGAAGGAAGTGTGTTAATCCCGGTTACCTTTGCCTCATTACCCGACTGTTTCTCTGTTAATGAAAGTTCTTCACCGCTGTCTTAGTGGTTCAGGAGTAAAATATAATCATACTTCGCCTTTTAATGCATCCTGTATATTTGTCGTTGCTTGAACTTGCTGTTGGAGGCATTGGATTCGTGGAAAGCATTAATGTTAGTAAACATACAGCAAGAGTGCCTTAGCATTATCCTGCTTAATGGCCAGTTCGTCTAGAAAAGGTTATTTTTCTCGACCATTTGCTAGGATGCTCCAGCCAGACAAAAGTGCGCTCATTACCATTATTTTTCAGTGATATCGACGTTGTCGTGCTTGGAAAATGGAACGGGTTGCCGTTATGGACCGTGGCCAGTGCGCTGGAACTGAACAACATAGCAGAACCGGGTTCAATCAAGATCTTAGACAAAGCATCGGTATGTGTGTCGGGGACTGAAGGGTGGGCGTTGCGTACTTGACATGTAGCAAATTGTAGGTGCCCATCATCAAGTTAGTTGATAGAAGAACTGACATAAAAGTCGACATCAGTTTCAACATGAACAACGGTGTTCGCAGTGTCATGCTTATAACAGTGGGTCGATATTTCGAGTTACGTTTTTGATTTACGCCGCAGCTACTTGCTGTTTTCTCTTTAGAACTATATGAAAACTTTTCCCCCTCTTGCGAAGCTTGTTTTCGTTCTGAAACAATTTCTTCTACAGCGCAATCTGAACGAGGTGTTTACCGGAGGAATTAGTTCGTACAGTTTGATATTGATGATTGTCAGCTATTTGCAGGTACGTATGAACGGCGTAGCGACAGTGGTTTTCAGTGTTGCATCACGGTCACTGTTTTTCAGATGCATCCGACGATCGATACCCACCGCGAGGGTCCGAATTTAGGGGTGTTACTGATAGAATTTTTCGAAATGTACGGTCGACAATTCAACTACCTGCAGACAGGCATTCGGGTTAAGAACGGCGCCTCGTACATACCGAAAGAAGAGCTGCAGAAAGATCTGAGCGAAGGCCATCAGCCATCACTGCTTTGCATCGAAGATCCCTTGCAGCCAGGAAACGACATCGGTCGCAGTTCCTACGGTGTTATGAAAGTGAAACAAGCATTCGAGTACGCCTATCAAGTCCTGAGCAAGCAGATGTTCCATCCGCGTCAGGGCTTAGTTCGAGACAGCGGAAGGTACGACGAAACGTTTCCTTTTACTCTTCTTGTGCGATTCCTGTTGAAATGTTTGACCGGATTTATTGATTGTTATCTTCAATTGATTGCCAGTTTTGGAAAGATTTCAATTTCCCACTAAGCAGCGGTTGACTCAGTTTCCACTTGACATACTACATCGTGTCCTCTTTGAAAAAATTAGTAATCGGTCGCGCCTCGATTCCCGCGAGGCTAGCTGATACACGAGTGAAAGTTACGAGCCTAGAATTGCTGTTTGAATTGCTAGTTTTTATGTTTAACAACGCTGTTTTAGATTTGTTCGGTGACTTGCTATGTAAAGCAGCAAAATTTTATTCCAAAAGACATCATGAGAGAGCAGTACATAGGCATATATGGGCACGCCATGACCATGTTATTATGGCAGTGTACAACCATCAAGAAGACAGATTGTGAGAGAAAATATGGTTTGGTTTCCGCTAGAATGAACACGTAATTAAAGCAAGCAACCAGACTTCTCAGTCGAGAACTAACGGGTCCTCAGTAATGGCGAATCAGCATTTGATAGCACATTTAATACAGACGATTTTATTTGCCGGTTACATTTCCGTCTGAATTAAGCTATTTTCGTGGGAGTTGTTTGGTAGTGCTTTCGAAAACGAGGTTCGGTAAAATGGCTGCGATATCGACGAGTCCGTACTTTCTCTTTGCATCGACTTTGACGATCATCATGCGTTTAGAGCCATGACCTGTGCCACAGTAATTTACGCATCGTCTTTCGCGCAGTTTATAACGGTACCCTTCCATGCTTTTGACAAAGGGGTGTTTAGAAATATCTACTATAGCGTCACTAACTTGTATAGGTGGCGCAGTAGCTATCCAAGCTACGTAACCTGACCAATGGAGCCGCCTTCTGTTTAGTGAGACTGCGAGGCCAACAGGAGCACGACAAGGATTTCTGGGTTCTATATGGAACCAGCAGAACCAACATGACTGTTTGTAACTGGAATGTCTGTTCTTTGACTGAAATTGCACAGAATTTTGTTAAGTCAGAACGCTGAAATCCAGATATGATTTGAATCTTTTCTACCAGTCGCTGCATTTCCAGGATTTTCAACTTAGAACATTTTCAGAAGATTTTCTCCTTTGGTGCTGATCTAGCCTTGTTGGTATATGCGGAGACAACGATATGGGTGAACCCAGACCGATTGACTGTATTGTTGACTGGCCCTCTCTGAAGGAAAGTGTTTGCATAATGAGACAGACATGTAGAATCGGGGCTGGTCCTGTTGCAGTAGTATTCACCCAATCTGAATTCACGCTGCTATTCGCTTTTCAGATGAAGCAGATGCTGTTCTGGAAGGGTAACCGATACGGAATCCGCGATCCTGGTGTGAGACAGTGCGCACATCGGCAGATCGAAAACAGCTGAACAGATAAAAAAGACGACCACGATATGAACTACAGTAGTGTCAAATCACTGGACTTTTCCTGCGTCAGTTGTCTGTTCATGATGAACATCTAGCATCGTGATGTAAATGATATGAAGTGGTGCACGTGATATCTTAGTAGATTAGGATTAGCGACCACTGATCTGCCTAGTTTAGCGTTTCATCTATGTGCCATGATGCTGAATATTCGTGTGAAACAAGGAATAGAGCTGTCGAATGATCACCACTGATTATTTGTCATAGTCGCCTTTCAAAATTTGATAATCTACCAGACCGGCGGATTGAAATTTGCCTGCCAGATAAAGTAGGCAGCCTTGCATGGTAAGTGTGAGGAAGCTGTTCTGTAGGTAACATGTCAGAAAGATTTCATCGGATACTTGGCCAAGCTTCAGACGTACAGACGGAGTAGCATCTGTTTATAGCAGCCATAACTGGTTCAGCTTCGTATTGCTGTGGTCCAAGGCAGTTTGGTTTCGCGACTGGCGACAAGAAAAAATCTCGCTGATGGTAGCAGGAAGTTCAAAATGCCGTTAAAGCGAAGAATCATTATGTCAGACTTGTAGGCAAACTTAGTCTTTCTTACTCATTTGGTACTGCGAAGTCTTGCAGAGCTGCAGTACACGCAGTGAAAAGTGCACAAGCTTGGGAATCATTTGAAGAGTAACTTACCTCCTACTATTGATCGTCACTACTGGCTGATCTGGCAAATTATTCGCCGCTTACACGGACTAAGGTCAGATATCGCTCGACTTATGCATAGTTCAGTTCGAAACCTTTCAAATAGCGGGTATGCCATCCTCCACTGATGGATTTCGTGATGGATATGTGGAGTATTTCTTATATCCAAGCTGTGCGAGCTCCGACAATAGTCCTGCGCTGTTTTTGATGAAGATGGTCTCACAGTGGAAGTGACAGCTGCCATGTCGTTGAAAATTGACAAGGCTGCGGAAAAAGACGAAACCTGACCTGATATGCTCCAAGCGTTGTTTCGCGATGGTATTTAGTGGCTGACGTTGGTATGTCACGTTGCGTGAAACTGGAAAGGCATCAGAGCATTGACGACCTGAGATAGCTCCTGTGTAGAAGAAAGGAGATCAGAAAGTCGCTAACGAGGCATGTTGATCTCTGTTCAACCTATTTGAAAAAGTTTACATAAAGGGTTTCAGAAATGGTAGCGCAGGAGATTCAGAATAAGCATGTGGTTCGCGTCATGTTCTTAGCACGGTAGGTCAAATGCCTTCCATCGCGTCCATGGAAAATGGTGGAACTATACGAGGGTAATCAGTTCTGCGTCACATATCTGGAAAATGCTTACAACAGCCCAGTCGAAGCGGTGGAGAGTATTGCAGGAATCATAAAATCTTTATATGGTCCATCAGGATTCTATAACCAGGTTAATTTAAGACAATGCCGTTCAAGGTATACGTTAGTCTCCGCCATGGATAAGGTTGTCCTCTTTCCTATTCATAGTATTTATGAATCAGCGATTTAATTTTAAGCGGTTTAAACGGCTGGAGAGCATCATAGAGGGAGTCATTTCTTGTTTGCAGATAATCTCGCAGTGTTCGCTCCGTCCAGTTCTGACCTCCAACTTGCTCGTGATCTCTGCCACCTTTTGCTGCCTCATACTGTGGAAAGGAAAAGGAAAGTTGGTCAACACTGGAATGTCGATCATCCTTCACTGTCATGATTGGGCCATTTTGGTGCCCTTGTTTTGATAGAGTTAATGCTGCGGCGATGATCGTTTCTCCACTAGTTAGGAGTGCCTTATCTTTTTAAGGCAGAGTCTACAGCCATGTTACAAGCTTTGCATGTAGTCTCCTGTTTTCTTCCCACTTAGTGATACTCATTTATCAACCTCGAAAAGAAGGAAAACGAGTGACCCCGACCGGAGCTTGAACCAGGACTTATCGATTTTGAATTCGACGCCCTACCAAATGAAGAGCCTAAGTATAAAGCAATTTAAATTCATTGCTCAAGGAAATTCGTGAACAGGGCAAAGGCTGCCCTCGAGCGGAATCGGACCCCGCACCCCCAGTACTTGAAACAGACCACTTTGACAACTGTGCCAATACGCCACCACAGGCCGGCAAGAAGATGAGCCAGTCCAAAATCGATAATTTTTATTCCCGAGAAAGTCGCCGTCACACTACTCTACATTTAAGTGGAGTACAACTGGAGCCTGTGGAAAAGTTTAAGTATTTCGGGGTAACATTCATGACTTATAGCTGATAGGATGCGAAAACAGATACACAGATCAGCCAGACAAGTTCGGTAATGCGAAATCTAAGCCGGTCCGTGCTAATGAAGAATAACTATTCGTCGTGCGAAGCTGTCTGCATGTATACGGACCCAACATTACCTACGGTCATGAGTGCTGGATATTGATGGAAAGCCTGTAATCTCGGATGCAAGCTTTAGAAATAAGGTTTCTTCGATGAATTGCGTGGGCCGAGGCTTGAGTTTGGAACTCAGCAACTAGTTAAGATGAGTGATGATCGAATAACGAAATAAAGGTGATATTTTGAAGTGTCTCAGATTATTTCATTTGTGCGATGATATTTCCTGTGAAAATGCTCGCATGACACTGAGGATCAGCGGCGAATTATGATTCATGCAAAAACAAGGTTTATCACTTTTTGTTTGATTAGAAAATTTGGATTTTAATTTCTGGAATATGAAAATGAAATTTTATATCCAGTGCATTGAAAATCTATGTAGCGTTGTAATACTAATGCATGAAGGTTTTCGATTGTTCGTTATTTCAGTAATAAAGTTGCAGTTAATTTGCTTTAGCATTCTTGGGCGAGTTATCCGCGTGACGGATGCGGTTGTTCATTACCGGCAGTGGATACGCGCTAAGTACTCTTCTTTACGAACTAATTTTCCGCTGCCCATCAGCTACGCTGAAGTAGTTAGCAAAGCTCATTCGCAACGGTCAGTATCTGATACAGTTCTTGCATCTGCGTATTGTTTTTTACTTTCATTCGTACACGCCTTACATATGTGTGACAAGTCTGTACTTGCTACTTGTTACGTGCTCTGCGTTTTTGATGAGATTCTGCTGTTTGCAGATCACTCAAGCAGCCCGCCGTCCTTCCGGAGAAAAGCTACAAGTCATTGACCTCTAGTGTGTCGGATCTTTCCAGTGACACGGTACGGTTTAACGACCACTTGTCAGTTACCGATCAATTATTTCATTATTAAATTTAGGAATCCGAGTCGTCAGCAAAGAGCATCACCAGTCAGCATTCATCATACTCTAAGCCGACGTACAGCAGCGTTGTCGGCAGCAAAGTGCGAAAGCCGTTATTACCTACGGCGGCCTCCACCGTTCTGCCTTACCGGCTGACCGAAAGATGTTCTTCTAGCGTTTCGCTTCCCGGTTCCAAACAGAAATCTACTGGCCAGAAAGTTGAACTTGCAGTTTTAACGAAACAGAACACCGCCGCTTCTGCGCCAGTTGCTGATCGCAGAAACGTAAAAGCTGTCACTCCAGAAAGTGTCGATCCATCTGGTCAATATCTTCAGCTATCGTCAGTACATCACGGAGTTTTCAGGGGTGCATCCGGCTCTTCCTCTTCCGCTAGCAGTGTGCCTCACAAGCGAGGAAAAATACAGTATGTGCGCGGCCGCTGATAGCATTATCACCAATGCAGAATCCACTCAACGTCAGTCTGTCCCCGCCAAGTTCAGAACCCTCAGCAAACCAACTCGTCCCGCAATTTCTGTGTATATGGGCACCAAACTTCAACGTGACGCCATTGCCTCTCACGGCGTTAACCGAAGTTAAAACGCACGCTCCCACGAGAAAAGCAGTAATGCTTCAGCCGCCGCGATGTTTATTTTGTTGAGTATGCTGTTCGAAAATGCCCCCGGTTCGAACATGTGAACAGCCTTCAGGCGGTAGTGATGTATCCGGTGAATCGCGATCGTTGCATTTGTTTACTTTGATTTGCCGTTTTTCTGCTCATTTACAGAAAACATTAAAGTTATTGTTTTCACTCACGGTATTTGCAATTTTTTGACAGATTCTGTGAATTAACGTAAGTCATGGCGTGGCATCGTTAGCAAAGTTCGTTTCTGCGGTACTTTGATGCTCTCAGTTATTATGTAATCTTTGCTCAATTTTTGTCGAAAATATCCTGTGCTGTTTTCTTAGATGTATTTCTCGGTCGTGATGGTTGCACAGATGCCGTTTTTTGAAACGTCCGTTGTGTGTACCTCGCTGCCGCGCGTTATGTTACGCGATTCTGACAATAAGCCGTCT